TCGTTTGAACAGAGCAAGGGGACACTGCATGGTTTAGAATCAAGAAGGGAGTGTGTCAGGGTTGTATCCTTTCACCATACTTATTCAATCTGTATGCTGATCAAATAATCCAAGAAGCTGGACTATATGAAGAAGAACATGGTACCAGGATTGGAAGAAGAATCATTAACAACCTGCAATATGCAGATGACACAACTTTGCTTGCTGAAAGTGAGGATGACTTGAAGGTCTTACTGATGAAGATTGAAGACTACAGTCTGCAGTATGGATTACATCTCAATATAAAGAAAACAAAAATCCTCACAAATGAACCTATAAACAGCATCATAATAAATGGAGAAAAGATTGAAGTTGACAAAGACTTCACATTGCTTGGTTCTACAATCGACACCAATGGAAGCAGCAGTTAGGACATCAGACAATGTATAGCACTGGGCAAATCTGCTGCAAAGGACCTCTTTCAAGTGCTGAAGAACAAAGATGTCTCCATGAGGATTAAGGTGCGCCTGACAGAGCCATGGTATTTTCAATCATCTCATGTGCATGTGAGAGCTGGACAATGAATACGGAAGACCGAAGAAGAGTTGATGCTTTTGAGTTGTGGTGTGGGCAAGAAATGTTAAAAGTACCATGGGCTACAAAAGAACCAACAAATCTGTCCTAGAGGAAGAAATCTGTCCTGTGCAGTCGGAATGCTCCTTGGAAATGAGAATGGCCAGACTTTATCTCACCTACTTTGGTCATGTTGTCAGAAGGGACCATTCCCTGGAGAAGATGTCATGCTTGGTAAAGTGGAGGGTCGATGAAAGAGGGGGAGCCCTCAACTAGATGGATTGACAGTGGCAGCAGCACTGGGCTCAAGTATAGCAAGGATCATGGAGCTGGTGGAGGACTGGGTGGTGTTTCGTTCAGCTGTGCGTAGGGTTGCTATGAGTCAGAGGCAACTCAATGGCACCTAACAACAACAACAACATGTATACACTGCCCAACTTCAACAATTACCAATACATAGCCAGTCTTCACTTATCTATACTGCCCCCACTGGATTATTTTAAAGTAAATCTAACATAAATCATTTAAATTTACCCAGTTTCTCAACTCTGTTTAGTTACTTTTTATTGCGATTGTATATGAAAAATGACAGAGATAAAGTGAGTTACATTTGCTTCTCACATACTGTTAGGTTATACACTAGTAATACCACAATACTTTAATCCAATTATGGTTATGCTATTTCTAGTTCACCCTTACTGTGAGGCTGTAGCCCCCTTTTCTGGTTACCTAGTGCTTCTCTGACAAGAATATACCACAAATGGGATGGCTGAACAAACAGGAGTTTATTCTCTTACAGTTCAGGAGGCTAGAAGTCCAATTCAAAGTGCCAGGCTCTAGGGGCTGTGTGAAAGCCCCTGACCTTGGGCTTTAGCTCTGCCTCTTGCTCCTGGCCCTCTGACGCTAGAGGCATCTCTTCACTCAGGCAGCTACTGGGTATTGAGGGTAACAAGCCCAAGGTCGACAAATAAAATGTCACAGTCCCGATGTTACCAAACCACACGGCAGGCTGTTAATTTAAGTCCATTGAAAGTCCCAAGGTCGGCAGAGCATGGCAGGCTGCTGAACAATGACATGGCTACATGCAGGATCCAAGAGTGTCATAAACTAGAGATCATTCCCAAAGCTGTTTCTTATATACGAGAAGCAGACCACATCCCTAAAGCAGCTATTCAGCTGCTTGTGGTAGGTCCCACCATGGAGTTGATTGCCAGTCTCCTCGTGGAAAATAACTACGACCAGCTTCCCAGCCACTCAGCCAGGCCCAGCCAAGTTGACACACAAAAATTCCAGTGAAAAGCCTGGCATATTTTATATGGTTCCTCCTTATTGGAAGACCTCAAATTCCAGTTTTCCCCTCTTTGCAATGAGGCTGTCAATATCACTGTCGAGCTTTTGATCCTCATGGCCATGACTTTTGATAATCAGTGGTCATTTTATAGGGAAAAGTGACTTTTAAAAATGCCTTGTTTACTTTTATGGGCTTCTCTCTTCTTTCAGATCTTGGCTCTGCAATTCTTCCCTATCTTGGGAAGCATTCTGATGCTTTCAAACATAGATTTGTATATTTTGTCTAGATTTTCTGTTTATTCTCAATGGGGGGAGGGTTGGTCCTGATCACCTAGTCTACTATTACCATACTGCTTTTTAAAATATTGTTCAACTTATTAAGCCCTACAGTGTTTTAGGCTTACATGTGAGAGTAAAGAAATAAGTGATCTAGTGGTTTTTGTTTCAACTTTATCTTGGGTCTTTTAGTATTCTATAACACACTATATCTTTTATATTCCAGATATAAAATTTAGCACAATTGTGGTCTGGACACCCTGTCTTCTCCAAACTGAGAAAAGGTCTTACTTTGTGTCTTATAAACAATGGAATTAAATCCTCTTGACTTAAATAGAAATGAGACAAAAATTAAATTAATTTAAAAAATAGAGTCAGCGTGGATAGAAAGAAGGAAGGAAACAGAAAGAAAAGAAAAAGAAGAATGATGAAACAATATAAGATTCTTTTATTGTCTATCCAAAATCATGTCAAATGCTAGATACTTAATGTCAGATTGAAATCAAACAGAGTTATACCTGACTGTACAACAAATGAAAGTCCCTGGGTGGTACAAATGGTTAGGCACTTGGCTGCTAATTGTAAGTTGGCAGTTTGGGTCTACCCAAAGGCACCTGGTGATCTGCTTCTCAAAAATCAGCCATTGAAAACCTTATGGAGCACAGTTCTGCTTTGACACACATGGGGTCATCATGAGTTGGAATAGACTCAACAATAACTGTTCTGGTTTCTTTCTATTTTTTTTTTTTTTTTTTT